AATACGTCGTGTGTGTGTGTGTGTGTGTGTGTGTGTGTGTGTGTGTCCCTTACTAGATTATACATTTTAAAAATGTTCAGTAGTCTCTTTCCATCTCAATGATTTCATTACTATAAAAGTGTTTAGAGTTAGACCTAAACTGTTAGACCGGTCAAAGATCACTCTGTTGCCTAAAATATGATGTGTGAAAGTGACTCTTCTTCTGATTGGTGAAAAATGTAATAATGCTGTTGTGGCTAATGATGGAACAGCCATGGGCCAACCCAAGAATATCCACAATAAAAATAAATAAAACATGAAGTTTTTCAAATATAAATATTCCTAGATATGTTACCATGGATTTTTAAAATGCTGCAGTCTGCCGCTCATGGTTAAAATTGTGCTTTTAGGTCCCAAACTCCAGTTGACTTCAGTAATCTAGGATCAATCCCATACAGGGACTACACTTTTATTTTATTTTATGATCCTTGTTTAAATACTCATATGGTGTCACGAAATCTCCAGTTATCTAGTACGAACCTAGTCCTTAGTGGGCTATCACTAAATTTTTACCATAAGCTTATCAGTTTCTCCTGTTGCTAGTGCAGCAACAGTATCTGGAATTTTGAGATGTAATTCTTAAAAGAATTATTTGTCAGCTTCTGATAGCTCTAATTGAGTAGGCAATCTTTTGGGGAGCTGCTGAAGCATTAAATTCATTGAAACCATTGGCATTGGTCAACATTATTTGTCACAAGCTTCCTTCTCCTGCCTCTGTTACCCTGCTTTCCTTCTTGTGTCAATGTCTAGTTCTAGTATTTTAAAAATATATATTTTATCTTAATTTGTAATTTCTTTCTTTTTACTGTCTTTCCTGTTTGCCTCTGTAGCTTATTATATTCCTTTTGTAAAGTTTTCAATGACCATTAGTCATTTGAGTAAGTACTATTCAGGGTGAGTAAAGGTAGCAGAATCATACTCTTAATAAGGTGTTTGGTCTTATTTTGGTACATATTTTTTAAAACTGTCAGTCAAGTCAGGGACGAACCATTTCACACACCTTGTGGATGATGATAGCAATGGCCTTCCTCTATTTTTGCAGTAACAAACTATTAAATTACGGGGAAAAGGCTACAGTTCGACAGTTCCCAGACTTCTAGCTGTATAAAATAAAAGCGTAGAAATAACTACTTGTGAGTTTTCATAGTTCCCAGCACTAACAGTACTTCAAACATCTTTCCTCTGTGTTATCCTAGGTTTTCTACCCCAGCAAAGATGGTACCAAGATCCCAATGTTTATTGTTCACAAGAAGGGAATTAAATTGGATGGATCTCATCCTGCTTTCTTGTATGGCTATGGGGGTTTCAACATATCTCTTACTCCAAGCTACAGGTAAGCAGGACATTTTTGACAGCTACTGTTCCAGCACCTTCCTCTAAAGTATCTGGTGCTGGCCACCCTTAAAGACAGGTTTCTGGGCTAGATGGACTTTGGGTCTGATTCTGTATGGCAATTCTATGTTTTCTTCTGTGCCTTTGTAAACAGAACAAATTAGCTCATCATCGGGGTGGGGGGGGGAGAATTACAGGATGTGTCCAGTCTGTGTTTTCCTTAAAAACATTTGCAGCTCTTTACTTCCTTTAAACTAATGATGTACTAGCTACTGAAAAAGCTTTTCCCAGTGCTAAGTCCATAAGTGGATGCACATGGTCCCAGAAGCTTGCCAATGGGAACTTTCCTTCTCATTCAAAAAAATAAAATATGATCACTGTAACATAATAAAAGTACAAACTAGCCTTTTAATAAAATATGGCAAGATCTTCTCTGTGTAGGAAGGCAAGAACTGCCAGCACAAGCTACCGGTACAAATTCTCCTTCACTAATACTGTCTATAGCTTCCTTAAACAATTCTGGTACACTATTTTTGGCTGAGAGATTAGCTAATTTCTGGAATCTTTAAAAACATGCAGGAAATGCTGTTCACTTGAATCTGTTATACATGAATTAATATTAATATAATAAAGAAAATCTCAACCTAGCATGAACTGTCTTATTTTAAAAAAGAGAGAGCAAGAGGCCCAGCTAGGAACCCAATATTATTAAACATACCTCTCAATCTTCAAAGTATTTATTCTTGCCACACCCCTATGAGACAGGGAAGTGCTATTATTCCCATTTTGCAGAGGGAGACAAGTGACTTGCTTGAGAGCACACTTGAAGTCTGTGGCAGAACAGGGAGTCAAACCCCAAATCTCCTGTGTCCCAGGCTAGCACCCTAACCGTTGGAGTATGGACTCACTTCCTCAGTGGTTTCCTTGTTGCACTCAATGGGATTGCTTATGGGCTTAAAATAAAGTATGTGTTTAAGCACTTTGCTGAACTGGGACCTTAGAACATATCTTTTCTGCTCAGTAATACAAATATCAACGTGTGTAGAACAGAGAATAAAAGGGAGTGTGTAGGAGGGTTTCTTTTCAAGCAAATCAATGCATCAAAGATCAAAAGTGGTAAGTTTAAAACAGGACTTCCAGTCCATTCTATAGTTCATGAGCCACAAACAGCAACCTGCTGGACCCATTAATAATCTTTAAAAAGGGAAGCAATGTTTACTTCACCAGCAAGTGAACTCTTATTGTAGGCTTGCCAAGATATGACACTGGGATTATTTTACAGCTTTCATTACAAAGCAAATCCTGCTAGACACAATTTCTTTTAAAAAAAAAAAAAAAAAAAAAGGACAAGTACAGGATAAAGGAAGATTCTTCAGACAGTAGGTTTGCATCTTGTCACAAAAATAATCTATTATTAAACTGTCCTGTTAAATTTACATGCAATATTAAGAGCTACAGCAGTTTGCTACGTGCTATAATTCTTGCATTAAAGTTGGCAAATCTCATGAAATCCTTTGCAGACCTCATTCTTTCATGGTTATTGTGACTATATATTTTCAGATAGCATTTATAATTTTCTGGTCCTTCATATCAAATACATTGTGTAACAATGGACCATACTCTTATGACGTATCATGAAATTATCTGAATGCTCTTTTCAGCTGTCTTCCAGAAGCTACATTTTTAATTTCCTGTGGTTTGTGTAAAACAGAATTACATACACTAAATAGTTTTTTTAAAAATATATTTATGTAAAGAAGGTTCAACCAGTGATGTGTTAGTTCCTAGTAGGATGTGATGCACTGTAATATATTGGGGAAGGTGGGGTGGGGAGATAAAAAACCAAATGCTGGATATATTTGATTTAGAGTCTCGCAAAGTACAGTAAGCATGCCTGCCTAATGCTCTAGGCATTTTTGACAATCTTTTAAGAATACACTAATTAAATAGACCCATCAATTCCCCCAGATCATATAAAATACCCGGTGACAATGTTAATATAATAGAAATTAACTAACCCACACACAGTCCCACACTAGAACCTTACATCACTACTTACCAACCCTTCCCAATACCTAGCTCCTCATGGGCAAAGGAGGGAAAGGAGTGACCTTATAGTGCACCCTGAAAAAAATCTGGCTGTTAGAGTTGGGGAGGAAGTGAATTCCAAAGGCCATGGAGAATGCCAGTCATTCACTTTGTCAGACTGGTGGAGGGGATTCAGCTTAGGTGCCTCTGCTGACCGCAACTGTGGCCACACGTCAAGCAGAGAAAACAGTTTTAGGTTCCAAGCCATTTAAAGATTGTATACAGAGAGAGAGTTATTGATAGATGATGGAGATGAATAGGTCATTGTGTTAGGTGAGTATCACCCTGAAAATATCTCCTCCCTCCTCCATTAAAAATATATCACTGATTTCAGCTTGTGATGCAGAGTGTGTGTTTCCTATAGAGTAAATTGATAAACATATCATATTGCTTTTAATTATTCACAGAGAATCCAATTCACAAGACCTCACAAGATTATTTATTATTTACATTGTGGTAGTGCTTAAGAACATCAATCAAGGACCAGAGGCCTGTTATAATAGGGGTTGTCCAGACAATAACAAAGGAGGGTTTACAGTCTGTATGTCAGGACACGACAGGTGGATGAGACAGACAAACAGGCTGAGTGGAGAGAGTGAAATTACACGACAATGATATAACAGTAAAACAAAACTCAACTCATTTGCATACAATAGGTTGGAGATTGTAGTACTACATAGCCCTTGCCTAAGACATATATGGAAATAAAACTAAATTTAATGAAAATTTCATCATAGTTTTCAGCTTTTTTTATTATTTCTGGTCTCCACTGAATAACCTAGAAACAGAAGGGTTTCATTTTTTGTTAAGATAAATATTCAAGATTTTTATTTGATCTCAGTGCTCCTGTAACTTATCACAAATCCAAGTTTTTCCAGTTTCTTCTTTTCTTCCTGGGGACTCTGTTTTTTCCGTTATCCTTTGTTCAGTTAAGTAAGATGTCACCCAGCTAGTGTTTTGTATTATTGCCTTTTAAGCCTGAGGAGCTAGCCTTGTAGGGTTGTTTCTCTTTGAATGAGAAATTATAATGAAACTCAGAGATATTCTTAATGCAATCTTGTTTATTAATAAAAAATGTACATGAATTTCCTTTTTCCTGATCGCAGTAGAAACAAATGTCAGCAGATCACTCTAGCAAACTGTGCCCAAGAATCTCTGTCTCTGTGCTTCCCTTCAGTCACACACTCACAACTCTTGCAGGCTTGCTCCCTTCAACACACAGCTTCCAATCGGTCTCTCGTAGCCCCCTGGCATTTTCAACCAGGAAAACCCTTATTAAGCCACCTGGTTGAGCCATGCCCTGGCTATTTGGCCTGGTGCTTTGGGCAGTAGCTACATTGTGTATGTTGGCATTATATTTTGTTGTTAGCAATCTTCTTTAAATGTATCGTACCCAAAAAGGGAACTGCAGCTGTTACTATGGTTACTGCTCACTACATTTTAAGAAAACTACAACAGCATAGGATGAGTTTAGGTCGATAGATCCAGAAGTAAACACACATAAGTAACAGCAAACCAAAGTCATTAACCCAGTTAGAGTAGTACTTTATTTTTGGATATAAGCATGCATTTTTTATTTTTTTTCTCTCTCTCGACTGAGCAGCTGGATTTAGAACCAATTCTAGTAGAATACACACTGTAGCACTGTCATCAATTATACAGCCTTCATAGTCTGTATAGAAACACCACAGCTAAAAAGTGTGGTAAAATTGATGGCATTCAGTGTGGGCTTGGCAAAGCTGTGAAAATATTATTGAAAACCCACCAGTAATACCTCAGATTCTGCACATCACCCTGAAGGAGGTGCCGTGTTTTACCCGTTGCTCTGTATGTGCCTTTGTAGGTACAGCAGAACCAGTTTCTAGTGTATACTGAAATGTTGATTGTGAAGTAAACCATAAATCTAAATTGCCATTCCTGTTACAGGGCCAGATTCTATCAGGCCCTTAAGCAAGAGCATAGTGTGGAGGAAGGGCATAATGACCCCTTCCCCCTTTCAGAGCACACATAAGGGTCAGGCAAAATAGCAGCCACTGTGTTCTGTGAAGCACAGGAGTTGCTCCTGCCCTGCTATCTCTACGGCACCAGGGCCGGCTCCAGACACCAGCTGAGCCAGCAGGTGCTTGGGGCGGCCAAGGGGAAGGGCTCTTCAGCAGCAATTCGGTGGAGGGTCCCTCGGTCCCTGGAGGAGGGAAGGACCTGCTGCCAGATTGCCGAAGAAGAAAATGGCGCGGTGGAGCTGCTGCCTATCACGATCGCGGCTTTTTTTTTTTCCCCGCCACTTGGGGCGGCAAAAACCCTGGAGCCGGCCCTGTACGGCGCACAGCCCCCCAAAGGAGGTGGGGAGAAGGCAAGTCCATGGCTTTTTCCTCCTTTCTCCCAACACATTGGCCCACCGCACAGGAGAGAGAGAGTAAGTTGTATCTGTCAAAAGAATATCATCTCAGACATGCACAGTCTGTGCATCCAAGTTTTCTTGGAAACATTTTGCCTCCCTGAAGCAGAATTCCTTACAATCTCCCTCCTATAGTCTGTGGCTAAAGGCACAGTCTTCCCCTAATAAATATCCACTTACAGTGAAGTTGTTCTATGCACGTGGGGTAAAATGTTCAACATTTCTAAGTAACTTAGGAGCCTATTCACTGAAAGTGAATAGGACCTTAGCCTTTGTATACCAAGGGCAATTGACAGAAAAACTAATGCTGAATAACTTAGATCCTTTTTGAAAATTTGAATCACAATGACTGCTCTGTTAAAGTTCCAATGTTTGTATACTTTTGGTATGGGATGAATTCCCAGTTTGGATTTGAGTTGTACAAAAAAAGGCACTGATAGTGAAGTATTCAGAAATTGCTTGGGGGGGGTGGGGGGATTTGTTTTGGTTTTAGTTTTTTAAATAGCTATGAATAACATATATTGAGTTAGTGATCCCATGCTCAATCAGCTATATCCTCTAATTGGTCACTTAGCATCTAAAAGCAACCTATCAGGTAGGTTTGGACATAAAGTCATCCCTTTTGATTTTGTTTGGGATACAAGGAATGATAAGAAGTACAATAAAATTTGGGAGTTCTTTCTGTGACTATAATCCACCAAAAATTGATTGCAAAACCACAGTCTCTTGGAGCAGTGTCAGGCTATTCCACATTAACTATCGCAACCTCTAGAAATTAGTCACTCTACAGTTTGGCAAAACATGCACTGTGACCCTTTACACAATATATGTCTGGAATATAAATCTAGTCTCTGACCAGGACATCACAGAGACCTAAGCCTTGAAAATTGATTTGAAACAAAAGAGAGAATTCACATTGCTCTAGGTGAGCTGATGGCTGTAGATAACACGCCTATTGTGGAGGATTTATCCTTTGGGTGGATGATGAAAGTACAGGAGCCTCTTCTCAATTCCCCTTCTACACAGTTTTTTTTGCTAAAAAGTTTACCCCTGTACGTACTGTGCAAGAGAAGTCACCAGCAGGTGTTAATTGTTTTTAGAGCTATGAAAATATTACTCTCTTTGTAACTAGAGACTTATGGACACACTGTAACATTATAGTCTTTTCTGTGATTAACAAAACAACTTGGTAGGTGAGTTCACAAGAATAATTGTGCTTCTTTAGGAAGCATTTGACAGCAAATGCATGGGAAATGACTTTTCAGAAATATTTCTGAATGAGTCTCATAAGTGGCATCAGGCTTAAAGACATAAAGACCCAATTCTTACTTATGTGAGTTAATAAGACTGATTCATATAGCAATGGAGTTGCCTACGGGGGGAAATCTGGTTGGGGTTAATTCTCATGTTTTACTATTCTCCTTGGTGCTCCTGGTTTGCCACCTAGAGCTCTGGCTACATTAAGCTTTTGCCTCAATTGATGGGAGGCCTGCTTCCCTTCCTGCTTCCTTTTTGATTGTCAGATATGATTTAAGTGACTTTTAATTAAATCTCTTTTTAAAAGATATTAATGACACTAATATCTGAGTAATTTAATATTGAGATATTTTTATATTACATTAGCTTTCATCCAACATCAGAAAATACCAGTGAGGTCAGCTACCGAAATTTAGATTTTAATGTTCTTATACTGAACGATGTAAGTAAACAAAACAGTTTTGTTTTGTCAAGAACTCCAATGTATAACCACTAGTACAAACATTGGATGTAAGAACATGATCTCTTTTGCAAATACAGCCTTGTAAATGTCAGAGGCAACTGATATTAAATACAAATTTAATGCCTATTCAAAGACTTTTACAATTCCTAAACAAAACCAGGCCAAATGGTGGCCTTAACTTTTAGCTCTTGTTCATTTGTTAGCAAATAGGTTGCTTCTCTGAAGTTGCAGATGGCTCTAGACACGGTGGAGGAAGAGTTTAGAGAGTCTACATGGGGGGCATATGTGCTGCAGAGCCGCGCTCCCCACACTGAAGAGTTGGGAGACTGTCAAGGAATAGAGGCATCACCAGTGGATCTGTGGTTACATAGATCTGCTGGCCACTGCCCTTGAGGAGGGCTCTTGGAAGAAGATTGGAGTAGCTTTGCTTTCTTTAGAGAGAGACTCATAGCAGTATCCCCATGGAACACTACTGAGACAAGTCTGGCTACTCGGGCTTGGCAAAGAGGGAGGATTTAACCCTTTATATTGTCACATACATTATGCCAGACTCTCTCCTGCATCTAACATACACACAGCATCGGGGCGAGGAGGGAGAAGAGGTAGACATTGGGGGGGCAGGAAATGCAAAGTAATCTACTAGCTTTCTGTTTTTCTCCTTCAGCGTATCAAGACTTATTTTTGTGAGGCATCTGGGTGGTGTTCTAGCTGTGGCTAACATCAGAGGAGGTGGTGAATATGGAGAGACCTGGCACAAAGGTAAAGCGTTCTGAGTACAAGAACAAATAGTGGTTTTAGCAGTGATACTGACAGAGGCTGTGTCTACATTGCACAGTTAACCCACATTATTGTGCTCCTGGGTGTAACCTCGCCTGGGTGTGAGTGTCCCTATAGCAAAGCCATTCTTGTGTTACTATGTTTTCAAAGTTTGTGCACCTGCCCACGTGTGCCTGGGGGCATATCCCTTGGTTCTTTGTGCAAGGATGCTCTGGGATTCTTTTCCAGTCAGTTGTGTCCAGTTGTGGGAGAACTTGTCTGCCCTTCAAGGGAGAAGGTGGGAAGGCATGTGAGTGATGAGCCTGTCCTCACTACAAAGTGAGCAGCTTGGAGAGCCCATGTTCTAACCCACATCACCAGCTGGATAAGGTAGCGTGGGCTTAAAGCACCTCCAAACCTAGGTCACAGGCTTTTCTGTATGGATGGGAGCAAGCTTGAGGCTAAACCTCTGATAAGAGCCCAGATTAACTGTGCATAGTGGACATATCCAAAAATTGTCTGCCTTTCTTCTCTCACTCTTTATTTACCCAGATAGTTATGAAAGTCAGAATTATTGTCAAACAATCAAACTTATTTCTTGCACCTGTAGCTCCCTCATATTATTTGATCTTTGCAGTTAGATTGTTTTGTTTGTTGCATTCCAGTTAAAAATATTACAACATAATGTAAACATTTATTTTACAACAAACGTGTACGTTTTCCAAGAAAATTATTAGCATTTTTACAAAACAAGATCAACTTTCTGGATTCAATGCAAATATTTATGAATGCTACTATTTATCTTGAATCAGCTTTCCAAATGTATCTAACTATACCAATATTTGCATACTATTTCTGTTGTTAACCTATGGTAAGGTGATTTTGCTCAGTATTGCTCTTTCATCGCTTTCTGCTGTAACACCCGTCTGGGACATTTCCTTGTAATTGACTTAAAGATGTAATGGTTTCATAAAAAGAAATAGCATATGCTCAGGCATGCATAATGTCATTGCTAAAGACAAAGTATCCTTCAGTCATTTGAATTTGGCCATCAGTTTTTAATGAGATTTTATCTTGCTATGAAAATGCTTCTTTAGTCCCCCTATTTCCTGTTTAATTTAATTTCAGCTCAAGTCTGTTATCTCAATTGCATAATTAGGTCTGTATCTGTTCTTTGTTAATTTCAGAGACAGCTAGCACAGATGTCTATTTGAGTAGCTTTAACTTCATGGATAGGGTCCTGACCTTAGGCCAGACCAGAATTATTCAGTATTCTGAGTAAAGCACAGGATGTCTCTTCACTTCTATTTCTCCTCCACTGTTGCAGTTTTGGGAGTTAGTTAATATAAAAATATCCAACATTCCCAGGACACCTCTTGTGTGGTCTTTGTGTTGGATGAATTATGTATTCTGTATTTTTAAGAAGTTAGTTATACAGTTCTGCAAAGGGATCTGTACAGCTGTAAAGTCTGCCCACAAGAATTCCTTTACAAGATTGAACATAGCCTTTGCTATGAGGGTACCAGCACTTAATTCTCAATTACCACCTAATTACAATTCCTAATTAGTATTTAATTACCCAAGACCGGACTGTCCAGGTCAGATAGGGGTGGTTTGCATTTACAAAGCTTTATGCAACCTTTGATCGGGAGCCATTTATAGCCTCATATCAAATGAACTTCTTAAATGGGAAAATGTAAATTGGAGTTTTGGTCAGTTGTGAATCCTTCTGTGAATATCATAATTTGGCAATTAATATTATTTATTTTATATAAAAAGGTTGCAGAGCAAGACTTCCTCCCATATGGGTTTTGACATTAGAATTAGAATATCTCTTGCATACAAAATTCTTTCTTCCCCAATTTTTTAAAAATTGTACATTTATTTCCCCTTATATGAGCCTTGTTAAAATTGTGTCTAAAAAGACTACAGTAGCTTCACTATAGTAGATTAATAAGACAGTAGCTTTTCAAAATTTGAGCTATCTTAATGAAATGCCAAATTAAGATCTGGCTCTGAAGTCACATTTCTATCATAGCTGTATGTCATCAGATTTGAAAACAAATAATAATAAAACCCAGTCAAGTTATGCATCTGATGTCCAGCAAACATTAGTGTTAGCTTATTTTTTTACAGCAGTAAGTTTGAAGTTTTATCTTCTTAAAAGATCATAAGTGAGCTTAATTATGTTAAAGTTCCATTAAGACATACTTCAAGTGGAATTGTGTGTGGTCATTTTGTGTAAAATTGGCAGTGCAAAGCTTTTAGCTGGAATCTCAGTAGTAAGGAGCATTACCTGTTCGATCCTCAGCATAGATATGTATTATTCAAGATTTTTGAGAGCATTAGAGTCATTGGCAGAACCATCTTATAATTTTTGAGTTGGAAGAGTTTTTAGTTTTCCTTTGCCTTTCTCAGCTGCATCAATTATTAAAATGTTCATGAAGCTGGAATTCATCCTAAGCATTTCCACATACACCTCCTTCTGAATAGGTGCTGTCAAATGCATTTTATAGAACTAACTGTTTTGTTTTCCTTGTGTGATAGGTGGTATCTTAGCGAACAAACAAAATTGCTTTGATGACTTCCAGTGTGCAGCGGAATATCTTGTCAAAGAGGGATATACATCTCCAAAGAAGCTGACTACTAATGGAGGTTCAAATGGGGGTCTCTTAGTGGGTAAGAACTATTTGTGTATTTAGTGTTGTGTGGATGCTAGTACGTGGATGGTTTTTCATAAGCTAAGCACAGGGAAAAATTTATAAGAGCCGTTGGGTGTAAAAATTGGTGGCATGTCATTGTGTTAATACAGATAAAGTAATTCAATTCCACTTCAGTCTCTGGTGGCATGGGACATTGGCATTCTGTATCCTTTGGAAAATGCCCACTGTTAAAGGCCACACAGACAATTGCTACCCATAGTCAAATGCATGTTCTTCATGTGTGTTGGAACCTGCCCTGCACAGAATGTGCAACAGAAACTGAGCTGGTGGAGAAACGGGGAGATGTTCATAAACAAATATGACATTTTTCATTAAAAATAAATTTGGGAAACTTCATTCAAATTCACTAGCAGTTCTCCATGGTAATAGCCACAGATGGGTCAGTTGACCATTGGATCTGCATAATTTACCCCAGATCCTCATAGTTAGCCATGCACCTACACCCACATTCTGCAAGCCCATGGAGAGAATTGCTGCAAAGTTTCCTACTCTGCCTTTCTATGATCTGTTGTTTACACACACACACCATGGCAATTCTGCTACATTTAAGGCCTTTGTGCACAGATGAGTAACTGCAACATCATTTGACCCTATATTCGTTGAAAAGATGACAAGAAACAAATACCTCTGACAAAAATACATAAAAGAAAAATTAAGTATAAATAATGGGCAAATTTTGATTCTCAGAAACAATATAAATCTAGCCCGCCATTTATAAGTACACCTTATTAATGTATAATTCTCTAACTCATCTTTACTCAGAACAATTTAATCTTAAATATAGAAAGTCCATCTCAAAGAAAAAATTCTCACATAGCCAAATTTGTCCCTAAATAAATCCTTATTTTCTCTCATGTGCTCTCATCCTAGGTATCAGAGGGAACAAAGGGAAAGGGCTTTTTACCCCACCCTAGACTGGGATACAATGACAAAGGAATAGTTGGGAGGGAGGAGGGGGGAGAGAATAACTTTGAGAGGGCATTTTGCAGTTTGACAGCCTAAGGCTACTGAAATAAAAACACGCAAGGATTTAAAGAAATTTTTTTTCACAGAATTCATGTTTCGGTTTCAGCATCAGCAAAATTAGACTTTTACGTTCAACTTACTTTCTTTTTGCTAGAGGATATTGTGTATTGTAAATGAGAGCATAAATAGAAAGGGATGTTCATGGTAAAGAGCTATTGGGCATTGATCTCTCTGCAGTTCAAGCACAAAAAAGTCCATTTTTACAGGTGCTTTTGAGAACTCAGTTTAACATTTAACTGGCCATCCACCTTTTCTGGTTTTTATTTGAATTTGGTGGTTTAACTGCTTGTGAAAATATTACTTTGTTTTATGCCTGACTGAACCTTAATGAGCATTTAAGCTATATTCTATCAAAATAGAGCTTTAAAGACCTGTAATCAGAGTTCTCCAGTTTGATTTCTTTGATGCATAAGGAACAAGAAGGGTTTTTCCTCTCCTTCAGCAGAATCAAACTGCTATGTTTTCGTTGCTCCTTTATTTTAAAATTCTTACCTGTGCTCTTTCTTCAAAGCAGCACTGAATTTTTTTTCTCTGGTTACCCAAGGGATTTCAAAATAGCTATTCATGTCCTTGTACAACAGCTATCATGTGCCACTAATAGCTCAGATGCAAGGGCCCAATGCCATATTTCCTCAGTTTGCATTCATTGAAGAAAAGATTGTTGGCGTTCCTCCAGAATACTGTGTTCCCTTTTAGTCTAATTACTAAGAGGTGACTCTGGATAGGCTAAAGCCATAGTTTCTGGCTCATTCAACTGCAAAACAAGATTTCCTTGTCCTGCACGATGGAATCATAGTGTGAGGCAAAGGCTTAGTTGGCAGCACAGCTGTGGGCTAAAAAGGCCTCTTCAGACAAGGAGGATCCCTGTACTGTACTGTTTGACCTCTTGTACTAGCTTTAATGAACAGTTACGGGATTTTGTGGTCTTTGGCTTCTGTACTTGCAATTCAGGAATTTGTTAGCGAAAAACTCTTAAGATTCTGTGGAAAGGGAAAAGCCCGTAGAGAAAGCTGTAGTGTCAGAAACCAGTGTGCTTTAGCTCTAGTGATTAATCATGTGCACTCCTTAAAGTGGGGCAGCCGTTATTCTTTAAAAATGCCCTATAGTAATAGGCAGATTGGAAGCATAAAGAAACAAAATACAAGCATTCTTTAAAAAATGAACTCCTCCCTCTGTAATTACAACTGAGGCCATGTCTGCAGTATGGGGACAATTGCATCATAGCTACAGTGTCAGCATAACCCTGTAGTGTAAGTGCAGCCTAAAGCAACGGAAGGGTTTTTCCCACTGCTGTGGGAATGCCACCTCCCCAAGTGACAGTAGCTAGGTCAACAGAAGCATTTTTCCATCGGCCTAGCTGCATCTCCATGAGGGGTTAGGTCGGCATAGCTACAAGGGATGTGGATTTAGCTATGTCAACCTAAAGTTCAAGTGTAGACCAGGCTTAAGTCAGAAATGATTATTTATCAGAGTTCTTTGGCTTGCATATAGCTGAAAAATAAAGGAACTACTATGTTCATGTAGCAATAAAAGAGCTTTATGGTGCCTTTTCACCCATGGGGAGCAATAAACACAGATTTGTGCTTTCAGTTTATTTTTCCTGACAGTGATATCAGAACATTGGAGAGTGCCAAACTGTAATTCAACAAACCAATATCTTTATTATGTTACCAATAACACTATTGATCGTTAAAAGTAAATTTCTTGTTTGAATCCAGTTTGTTTGTCAGTAATTACACTCTTGGGCTGGAATTTACAAAGGAGCAGAGAAAGTCAGGTGACCAACTCTATTTCAGTGGTATGTGGGCACCTAACTCCCTTCGACTGTTTTAAAAACCCCATTCTTTGTTTACACTGTTCATTTGCCTCAGTTTGGACAATGAGAATTAGTGAATTCACTTACACACTTGTTTTTAAGTCAGTTTCCCTTTGACTTTCTTTGCACCTAAACCAAAGCCCATTGAAGCCATTGGAAGTCTTCCCTTTGACTTCAGTGGCTATTGTGGCAGGCATTTTTAGTCAATGTTTGTGTTTCAAGCACTGCATGGGGGTATTTATTTTTTAAAACAATTGTTTTAACTGGATTTTTCCAAAATGTGTAAAATTGCCATCCTTAAGTTTTACAAAAGCTGACATTACAAAATTTAATGCTGAGCCAAATTTATGTTGACTGTACCTTTTATTACTGCCCTTGATTTCTCCTTTAGACTTCAGTGTTAATAGAATTGTCTTGCTGTTTTTAAGCTGCTTGTGCTAATCAACGCCCTGACCTGTTTGCTTGTGTGATTGCTCAAGTTGGAGTAATGGACATGCTTAAGTTCCACAAATACACCATTGGTCATGCCTGGACAACTGATTATGGCTGCTCTGACTATAAAGAACAATTTGAATGGCTCATCAAGTAAGTGCCTTTTGGTGTTTTTAATGAACCGACTGCTGTGAATGTTATATTGTGCTGTAGCTGACTGGTAATTACTGAGTGAAGTCTGACTATTTTAAATGGCAGTTGGCAGTCATCAATAACTAAGTATTGTACAAATTAATTTCGCCCTCACCCCTGTGAACTGAGTAATGGTATGGATCAAAATGACTTCATTAAATGAAAGAGATAAAGTAGGTGAGGTAATACATTTTATTGGCCAACTTCTATTGGTGGAAGGGGAGACGCTTTCGAGCTTCACAGAGTTCTCCTTCAGATCTGGGGACAGTACCCAGAGTGTCCAAACTAAATACAAGGTGGAACAGACTGTTAAGCATAAGGAGTTCACACATGCTATAAGAGATCACTTAAAATGAAGTAGGCAGTTAACACTTAGTTGTATGACGACAGAGGGTTAGCAAGCAGAAGGGTGTGTTACAAATTGTGGTAATGAGCCGTAAAACCATTGTGTCTGTTAAGTCCTTGATTTTTAGTGTCCAGAAAAGTTATGAATTTGAGGGTATGTCCACAGGGTTTGAACTCACACTCAAACCTACCCCCCCCCCTTCTGCCTGTGTACAAATCGCACTAACCCAGGGCTTGAACCTAGGGTCCCCGGACCCCATAGGGGTGGAGAGTCTGAGTGTAAGTCAAACTGGGACCAGGGGTTCAAACCCCGTTGCTTTCCAATGTAGATGTAGTCCCACTGGATTTGTGTTCTGGGAGTCCGCCAAAAGTATACCACAATCCCACAGGCTGACTTTGTGTCCTCTGGACAATCAAGTTTGGTAGACAATCAAGTTTTCCCACACTGCACCATGAACAAAAGGCTACAGTCAGCCACATTTTGGGAGAGCGCTAGGAAGTCTGGGATATGGATGGTTGGACTTGGTCCCACATAATGCAGTGTAGACACTGCAGCCCCTGGTTGGGACCCAGGGTTCAACAATTTCTAACTTGGTATTTCAAATGAGTATAGATGCTCAAGCCCTAGGTTAACAAACCCAGGTCTGCTATCTAAACTTCTACTAACCCTGGACTTATATTGCAGTGTAGACTTACCCTAAGAATATGTCCACGCAGGGATAAAAGCCCTATGGCATGGCCATGGCTGGCCTGGATCAGCTGACTTGGGTTCAGGCTGCAGGGCTAAAAATTGCTGTGTAGATGTTCGGGCTTGGGCTGGAGCCCGAACTCTGAGACTCAGGATCTTAGCGCTCGGGCTTCTGCCCAAGTCCAAATGTCTACACAGCAGTTTTTCAACCCCAGAGCCCAAGCACTGTGAGCCCAAGTGGGCTGACCCACGCTAACCGTGGGTTTTTTATTCTCATGCAGGGGCATACCCTAAGTTCCCATGCTTGACTTTTTGAGGGTGTTGTGCAGATTTCCTTTGAGGACGAGGACTGAGAGGGCAGATATGGAATGATCGCTTTGTGAAAAGTTTGCCCGTGGGTGATAGGATGTTTTTGTCTTTCATCATTTTTTCTGTATGAGTTCTTTCCAGAGCTTAGTGATTGTCTGGTTTTACCCACATAGTTTTTATTGGTGCATTTAGTGCACTGGGTGAGGTATACCACATATTGTAATAGGCATGCGTAGGACCCAGGGATCTTGAAAGGTGTGTTGTCGGGGGCATTGATCATCATTGCAATGGAGATATGTCTGTAGGTTTTGCATCTGTTGTTCTGGCAGGGTCCGGTGCTGCTTTGAGTGGGTGTGTCCTGGTCTTGGGGAGCTTCCTTCTGATGATGAGCTGGGCAAGGTTAGGGTGTTATTTGAAGACCAGAAGAGGGGATTTGGGAAAGATTTCTTTCGGTATTTGGTCCCCATCAAATGTGAGTTGTAATTGTTTGATGTTACCCCATATGGGTTCTAGTGTAGGGTTGTAGGTGACAGATAGGGGTGTGCAGTCAGTGGGGCAGGTTCTCCTGGGGTATTTGGGTGGTCATGTCAGGGAACGGATCTACTTCTCTGGTGGAGTGTCCTTGTTTAGTGAAGGTGATGTTAAGGTGTGTAACCTGGGCTTTCTCTTCAGAGCAAATTCTGGTATCTGAGTGCCTGGATGTAGATAACAGCTTTCTTGGTGTGTCCGGGGTGGTTGCTAGATCTGTGGCGGTCAGGGTGAGGATCCTTGAGTTTCTTGTATATAATCCATTGCTGAAACTGATTGTGGTGTCCAGGAAGTTGATAAACACAGTGGACACTGAAAGTTTAAAATTAACTTTTAAGTCGCTTTTATAAAAAGTAGATTTGTACCTTTCTACTTTTTGGAAAAATTCTGTAAAGCCAATGGGACATTATTTTCAAAAGTTACATATCATGCAAGGTTGGCTTTTTTTAAGTAATGACTACTTTTTCTGCTAGGCTGTCAGAACAGGGCACTCAGCCCAACAGCTAAACAAATAGTGTTTTTAATTATATGGGAGAGCGGATTGCTTTTCTAAGTTATATTTTGAATGTAGATAGGGTTTATTTGTATAAATTGATTGGGAGTGGGGCACAAAAGGAAATTAATTCAGGTTTTAACTTGCTCAGAAGCCTGAAAAGATTCTGTATTTTCACAGACCTGTTTTTTTTTTTTTAATGTGTTGCAAATTGATAATGGATAATAAAGAGCCTGTTACAATATGTAACATCATTTAAAAAATACTTCTGTAACACTTGCTCTCCTAATGCTGAATTTTCATTTCTTTAACGGTGAAGACTAAGAATGAGGATTTCTCACAAATATTAAACTACTATGTAAGATTTAATACTAAATCTAGATATTAGATACTAAAATAATAGCCCCTTTAGATGTAGTGTCTAGATACTAAAATAATAGCCCCATTAGATGTAACTGAGTAGATAATCTAACTCTTATTTGTGAGCTAAAGCGTTTATTTAAAATATCAGAGTTCAAAAGAAAATTTAATGCAAAATGAAAATACTTTATGATCTATTAGGCCTATTGTAAATCATTTGCCTCTTGATTGCCATTTTATCAAGACAGTATAAACTTTCATATGGTGATATTAATGGCAAGGCATTTTTACAGTATTATAGTGCACAATAAAATTTGTTAATTGCCAAGTTCATATTTTGAATTTTGTCAGAGGATTTGTCCCATAAAATGCATCTATTGTAGATATGATACAAACGTTTGTGTGCAATAAAACTTGTTTATATACTAGTGAATTCAGATATGATGAAATTTGGAGTATAGAGAATGAGAAGGAGAATCTTAAATTTGCTCTGTGTGTGTGGGAAAATACACATAGTAAGAAGATTCCTGTGTAGTCTGTTGTACATATGTCCATTGTAGGCCTCTCAAAATCAAAACAGGTGTTTTAGAAACCATTTTATCTGATGTTAATCTGAAAAGTTAGTCTTTTTTTAGATAGACAAACTAGCTTAATCTAGTGTACCATCATATTATATCCAGAGCAATGAGTGGTTCCCTTTGTCTAATCAACTGTCAAACAACTGGTAATCTCTTACCAAACAAAGCAAGATATTTGATAATGTTGTGTAATTGTGCTTAGAAACTACCAATATGGGCATCCTAGAAATACCTTAAACAAATATAATGCTCTTTATTGTCCAATATTTAATTTCTCAATACAAAACCTAGTTCTGTGATTCTATGAAAAAAAAATTCCTTCTAGTAAGCTGTTAGGTGCTGCTAAACCCAGACAAAAATAAAGGAATTTCATATATCATGAGATAACTTTGTATGCCTCTGTTACTTACTCCTTCAGTAAGCAATCTGAAGCTTGTTTAACTAATGTGAAATTAAAACAAAATTAAAGCACAAATACCAAATGAGCTCAGATGGCCTCTGTATTTGTTATCAGTAAAAACAGGAAAAAATAAAAATAACATTTTCAAATAAGGAAGCTAACTCTTCTTCTAAAGGTTTTCTTCTCTCTAAATGAAGTACGTGTTACAAAGGGGAGGTCCATATTACAGGCCAGTAAGCCTAACTTCAGTATCATGCAAACTGGTTGAAACTATAGTAAAGAACAGAATTATCAGATACATAGATGAACGTGATATATTGGGGAAAAGTCAACATGGCTTTTGTAAAGGAAAATCATGCCTCACTAATCTATTAGAATTCTTTGGGGGTGGGGGTCAACAAACATGTGGACAATGTACTTGAACTTTCAGAAAGCCTTTGACAAGGTCCCTCACCAAAGGCTCTTAAAGCAAAGTAAGCTGTCATGGGATAAGAGGGAAGGTCCTCTCATGAATCAATAGCTGGTTGAAAGATAGGAAAGGGTAGAAATAAAGTGTCATTTTTCACAGTGGAAAGAGGTAAACAGCAGGGTCCCACAGGATCTGTACTGGGACCAGGGCTGTTCAACATATTCGTAAATGATCTGGAAAAAGGGATAAGCAATGAGGTGGCAGAGTTTGCAAACAATACAAAATTATGCCAGATAGGTCCAAAGCAGACTGTGATCTCACAAAACTGGATCACTAGGTAACAAAATGTGTAGTTGTAGCCGTGTTGGTCCCAGGATATTAGAGAGAGAGGGGATGGGTAAGGCAATATCTCTTATTGGACCAACTTCTATTGGTGAGAGAGACAAGCTTTCACAGAGCTTGTAAACTTGTCTCTCTCACCAACAGAAGTTGGACCAGTAAAAGATATTACCTCATCCACCAGGGGCAACAAAATGACAGATAAAATTCAATGTTGATAAATGCAAAATAATGCAGATTGGAAAACATTATCCGAACTATACATACAAAATGGTGGGGTCTAAATTATTTGTTACCGCATAAGAAAGATCTTGGAGTCATTGTGGATAGTTCTCTGAAAACATCTGCTCAGTGTGCAGAGGTAGTCAAAAAAAGCTAACAATGTTAGGAACCATTAGGAAAGGGATAGTTAATAAGACACAAAATATCATAATGCCACTATATAAATCCCTGGTATGCGCACACTTTGAATACTGAATGCAGTTCTGGTTGCCTCATCTCAAAAAAGATATATTAGAATTGGAAAAAGTACAGAGAAGGGCAACAAAAATTATTATGGGTATGGAACAGCTTTCCTATGAGGAGAAATTAAAAAGACTGGGACTGTTCAGTTTGGAAAAGAGATGATTATGGGGAGATGTGATAGAGGTCTATAAAATCATGAATGGGTGTGGAGAAAGTAAATAAGGAAGTGTTGTCTACCCCTTCGCATAACACACACGAGGTCACCCAATGAAATTAGTAGGCAGCAGGTTTAAAACAAACGTAAGGAAGTACTTCTTCTTCACACAATGTGCAGTCAACCTGTGAAACTCCTTGCCATGGAATGCTGTGAAGGCCAAAAGTATAAAAGAACTTGGTATGTTCATGGAGAATAGGTCCATCAATGGTATTAGCCAAGATGGTCAGGGACACAACCCTGTGCTCTATCTCTCCCTAACCATCTGACTGCTAGAAGCTATGACTGGATGACAGGGATCACTCAATGAAGTGCCCTGTTCTGTTCACTCCCTCTGAAGCCTCTGGCACCAGCCACTGTTGGAAGACAGGATACTGAGCTAGATGGACCATTGGTCTGATCCAGTATGGCTGTTCTTATGTTCTTATATTATAATCCCCTGTGTTTTAGTATTGCTGTAATGTTAATTTCTAATATAAAAGGAGTCTTGAGAGAGTTTATGGTATGTTAGTGTTTAGGGCTATATGGTGCCCATTGGGAGTGAAACAAATTATTGGAAGCCAGACCATCCCTCACTCAGAGAATCACCCACGAAGGGGTTGGTCAAAGAGGCAGGAAAACTCCATCAGGTTCCCCTCCGTTTGGGGTCTGAAAAGGGATCCAAAGATTGGAGGGGCCCAGCCTCTTAACCCCATGGTCCCTGGAGATAACCATTCCCGGATCCATAAAGGCCAGGAGCCATCCCTATGGACAAGTCAGCTGCTTCTGCACAGTACTTGGTTGATTCCCAGCAGCAAAGCACCTGGAATGGATGTGGAGTGGACGCTCCAGCCTATTCAGTTTCCCTATTTCACATGAGTACTATTGCAGTTGCTGATAAGTCTGATGTCTGTCTAAAATGTTTGCATATTTACTTCCAAAATGGAAGGAGTTTACTAAGGGCTTCTACAGGGCTGAGAGCCAGAATATTCAAATAGAGAGATAAGTGGCCATTGTTCTGCTTTAATAGTACATAAGTGATAGAGAATCACTATCTACATCACATAAAATTGATTTTATACAAATGGGGGACTGACTTTCTGAGTGCTGTCAGACACCACTCTGATGGCTTGAATATTAAATGGCCTTGTGTCTTCTTTTCAGGTACTCTCCACTTCATAATATTAAACTACCAGAAGAGGACGGAATTCAGTATCCCTCCACGTTACTTCTCACCGCAGACCATGATGATCGCGTGGTCCCTTTGCACTCACTGAAATTCATTGCTACTCTGCAGTATGTGGTGGGCCGAAGCCATAAACAAACAAACCCACTTTTCATTCATGTTGATACCAAGGCTGGGCATGGAGCAGGAAAACCAACAGCTAAAGTTATAGAAGAAGTGTCTGATATGTTTGCCTTTATAGCACGATGCCTAAATCTTGATTGGATTGAATAGGTAGAATACACATACTGTCTCAATTAGAAATCAAGGGCTTTTACACTATTTGAAAACAACCAACCAGTTGGTGTAGTACTTACATTTAAGAACTGCAGTTTAATATTTTATTGATCCAATCTGCTGTGGAGTTTTGGTCTTTTAAGCTTCCTTCTTTTTAATATTTACTGGGGTTTCTTTTCTACTAGATTCAGGTATATGTTTTAAATAGCACCTTTGAATAGATAGCTGAATTGCTGGCAATGCTGTTGTGAAGATTTAGATTCCCGAGTTGGTGGTAGTTGAGCTTATTTCATATAAATCAATTTTAATGTATTTTGCACCTATAAACATATCCAGTTCACCTGTAATTAAATGTAAGTACTGTTCCTGTACAAACACTTGGAGAATAATATCTGTTATTTAAGAATGTTATGGTTATTACAAAATCTTTGCAATTAAAATGCTCAAGTACAAATACGTTGGGTCATTTGAAGTCAAATATTGCTGTTAAAAAGCTTACATTTCACGTTATTCATAACAATGTATTACAGTCCATCATACTTCTGTTGCTTAACTTAATCAGTTTCTTGCAGATGTCCACTTCATCAGCTTAGTATCAGGTAATTTATTTCCACGTGTAATAGAAACTCAACCTGGAGAACTTGGATTATCTTTAGAATTTTGCTCTGTTCTTTTCAAGTTGCACAGATAATCTTGACAATGTTGTCTCATTGCTCCCTGCATCTTTAACTACTTCTGAACAATATACCAGCTATCACCAGTGTTGCACACACAGCCCTGATAGAGCTCCCCCAAAACTGGACATTCACCAGGCTGTTATGTTTGGGGCCCAACTCACTGGGAACTGTGTGGTCTTTAAGCCTCCTGAGTCTGAACAGAATCCAGGTACTACCCCTGGCTTACGGTCCCTATGCATACTCAGGGTGAAGGTCCTCTTGTCTGGCACTCCCTCATGAGAGATGAGACCCTGCAGTCCAACTGCCCAGCCCTTCAAACTAGTGCTGACCCCTCATGCTCATCTGTAGCTTAAATACATACTCTCCCAGAGCTCCAGCCATGTGAGCATTCTGGGTTTACAGTTTAGCTCCGTATGGTCATTCAACAGTGAAAGCAAACGGACCCATTAACTTTGCATAGGATTCTAAAATAGCATTACTCTTTTACTCTTGGGGGAATTCTGGACCACCATGCATGTGTAGAATTTATGTCCCTCACAGATTTCTGTGCTTACCTGCAGAAAAAGGACTTTCTGATGGGGAAGCAAAAGGAAGCCACAAGAGCAGTTATGTAACCCTCCCCAGCAGTTTTGAGTGCGAGGGTAGCCAGCAGAGGTAAATCACTGCATGGCACCCAGGGCCGTGTCAGACCCACCCCCAGATTTCTTCCCGTCTGTAGGAAACTCTGCAAACTCCCCTGCCTGCCCCCACCCCCATTGCGCTTCCTGCACCCGTCACTCCACAGCTGCAGGGGGAGGGATCACTGTATGGGGAGCTGCTCCCCTTTCCACCCAACCCCCTGCATCCAGACCCCCTCACACCCAGACCCTCCCGCCGACTCCTCCCACACACACACACAGACCCCCCACACCGACAAGCCCCACTCCCCCTGTACCTGGACCACCCCAATGAGCCATCTGCACCCAGATCCCCACTCTACCAAGCCCCAACCAACTGCACCTGGATCCCCACCACACTGAGCCCCACTCCCCCAGCAACTGAACCCCTCCACTCAGCTCCCCATACCCAGAACCCCCTGCCAAGCTCCAATCCCCACGCACCCAAACCCCTCCCTGCTGAGCCCCAACCACCGTCACCTGGACCCCTCTGCAGAGTCCCATTACCTTTGCACCCAGAACCCCCCCAACAAGCCCCTGTACATCCAGCTTCCCCCCGCACCCGGATCCCCTACTGAGCCGCCCACACCCAGATTTTCCCACACAGAATCCTCTCAACCCACACCTGAATCCCACATGCACACTAAGCCCCTCCACCCTTAGATCCTGCCTTGCTGAGCCTGCCTGCATATACCTGGTGCATCTGGCATGGAGGGACAGGGCCCTGGGTGTTTCTCGGGAAGACCCCGTCCTTGAGCTGTGTCAGGGAGGGGGGAGCTGCACAGTGATCTCCCACATCTGTGAAGCCAGTGGCCTGTGCTCCCCAATGCCATGCTGGCGCCTCCACATTTATTTGACAAATAACATTTGCAGAATTTCAAAATATTGTGTGCAGGATTTTTATTTTTTTGGCACAGAACTTTTAATTTTTTGGTGCAGAATGTCCTCAGGAGTAAGACTCTTTACTTAGGTAGCATGAGAAATACAGAAATCTAGACAAAATAATGAACACACTTGTATGCATTTTCCCTGACTCAGTTTCCTTGCCACTCTGAAGAGTTCTTGGGGCTTGAGCAGAGTTCTCTGGGTAATCCAAGTATAGCCTGTGGCACATGGCTTCTCAGAATCATGGCATCACCCTTTCTCCTGCAGCTAGCTTCCTTTGCCTTTGGCTGGGCCCACTGTTAAACAGAACACTCCTGTGTACAAAAGCATGCCATTCTCTCCTGACCAAAGCTTCCTGTATATCTCTGTGTGTGTCTCCTTCGAGTTTATATATCCCACTATCACCACACGGGTTGGGTTGGGTTTTTGGGGGGGGCGGTGGAGGGAATGGGGATTACTTTTTGTTCTTTTGCTGAGAATTTTCCAGTCTCCACTTTTCTAGCCCCTTGCAGAGCAACTTGGTCAAACTGGTTTCCCCAGGCTTCAGCCAACACATTGTCCCAAGATGTTTTCACCTACACTACAGCCCTGACAGAAGGTGGCTGACTCCACATCTGCACTGAGGCACAGAGTCCCCAAATTGTCACAACCAGAAAATGGTTTCCAGTTTGGTTGGATTCACCTTGTCCTGATGTCCAGAACACATGTATACCCCAGCACTGGCATTTAAACAAGGCAATGATAGCTGGGTTCAGTTATAGCTTTAACACATGCACTTGCACAGTATTTGAGCTGCCATTTCTTATCTTCTAAGCCAGCAGTTCTCAAACTGTGGGTCGGGCTTGCCAGGGCTGGTGTTAGATTTGCTCGGACCTGGACCCCAAGCCCCACCACCCGTGGCCGAAACCCAATGTGGCGAGGGTCAAGCTACAGGCCCCCACCTGGGGCTGAAGGGCTTTGCCCCCTCTCTCCCCCCACTGGGGGCAGCGGGGCTCGGGGTTTGGCTTTGACCCCCATGTGGCTCAGGCAGGCTCAGGCTTCGTTCCCCCCTCCTGGAATTGTGTGGTAACTTTTGTTGTCAGAAGCGGATCACGGTGCAATGAAGTTTGAAAACCCCTGTTCTAGGCTGAACGGTTAAATAGATGAAGAAGTTTGGTTCCAGACTGCCTAAACGTCCATACTAACCATGCTGGAACTAACTTTTGACTTTCTAGAACAAAAACATGTTCCTCCGATTTTTTTTCCCCCCTTCCAAAAAGTAGAAATCACTGTTATTTTCCATTTTTGGATAGCCCAGAAACACCCACTTCTAGTTATTAAAACTTCATTCTAGAATCTTTAGAGCAAAATCTGTTCTTATATCTGTGTTTTTCATTGGCTTTTGTTATAGCTGTGCACACATCTGAGTGCAGAATTTGGCCTTTAATGTTGTTAGCCTACCAAAACAACGTATGTTTATTTTTAAAATTCAAAGTATGCTAATTAATTACTATGGTCTAGAGTGTGAGGTTAGGTACAATGCTGAGAGAGGCAGGGTGTAAGGCCTGGTCTACACTACAAACTTAGGTCGACATAAGCCGTGTTAAGTCAATCTAATAATGTATGTGTCTACACTACTGAGCCTCTTCCGCTGACCTAAGTGGCCTGTAAAGTTGACTTCTGTGCTCCACCTCCGCGAGAGGCGTAGCACTTGATTTGACATCCATGAGTCGTCATGGGGGATAGTGTAGCCACTGTATTGTAAAAAGAAGAACAGGAGTACTTGTGGCACCTTAGAGACTAACAAATTTATTAGAGCATAAGCTTTCGTGGACTACAGCCCACTTCTTCGGATGCATATAGAATGGAACATATATTGAGGAGATATATATACACACATACAGAGAGCATAAACAGGTGGGAGTTGTCTTACCAACTCTGAGAGGCCAATTAATTAAGAGAAAAAACTTTTAGTAAGTAGATAATACAAGACTAGCCCACGTACAGACAGTTTGTATAATAAGTAGTGAGAGTACTTAC